CTGCCGCTGCCGCTGTCGTCTCTTCCGGCTGCAGCATAACCATTTCCCTGCATCTGACACCCGTATTCAGGCTTAGTCCGACTGCTCCCGCTCCAACGGAAACCACCGGTGTTCCCGCCAAAACTCACCCTCTCAGTGGGCGGACCCAACGGTACTGCGCTGTTACGGAGGTGGGGAGGGACATAAGTGGGTCGAATTGGATGAGATACGGGATTGTTGTTTGAAACAACAGTTTCAGATGCAGAATCTGCCCATGAAGTTCTCATAATTTCCCAAACCTGATAAAAACCCAGAAAAGAAAAGAAAAAGAAAAATCCTAACAAAAACCCAAATTAAAAGAAAAAACACCAAACTAAAACCCATATTTTGAAATCCTCTAAAATGCCTTCTTGGCCATTCGCTTTTCCGAAAGATCACACTTAATCAAACAAAAAGAAAGTCCAATTAATATAAGCAAAAAAATCTCAAAAAAAAAAGGGAAAACAAGTAAGATTAGATTCTTGGTTGTCTCTTCTCTTTCCTTTTTATTTTCTTAGGCCTTGGACTGCAGCTCAGGAAAAACGAGAGAGTGAGAGAAAAAATCTACGAATCTTGGGTCGGTGACCGTACAATACGGGGGGCTTCCCTTCAAATTAAAATCATTACCCTCCATAACGGACCGTTGCCCTTTGCCGCCTTAAATATATACATAAGATAATAATAAAATTGTTTTTTATCAAATAATAATAAGATTGTTAAAGGTACAAAATCGAGAAAATTAAAAAATCGTCAAGAATTAAGTAAAACGGTTTGATTCGAATTTATCTTTTATGGTTCGATTTCAAGTTGATTTAAACACTCAATTGTTTTAAATCAGTTCGATTTGGTTCGATTTTTCCATATGGAACTCACTTGTTCCATATTGAACTGAATAACAAGTTGAACTTCAAACTAATGTCCATCCGGTTAACCACCCCTAATGACCTAATATTTAGCTCAATTAAAGTAAATACAACTCATTACCGAATCGAAAAATTCGGTTTATCAAAAATCGCATTACCGAACCGAACCGAAAAAATCAGTTTATCAAAAATAGTATTACAGAACTGAACCGAATCGAAAAATTTGTTTCACATATTTCGGTTTTTATACCATTCGGTTTCGATTTTAATTTTAAAAGATCGTTTATTGCGGTTCGGTTTAACTTTTATTAAAAAAATGAACCGAACCGAATACACTCCTAGTTAAAACTAAGGTATTATTATTACGACGTATATCTTATCTCAATTGAGTTAATTCACTATACGTCTTTAAATTATGATTTGGATTCTATATTGGTCACCAAATTATAATCATTCTAATCTAGTATTTAAATCATTAATATTATTTCAATCAAGTTTTTTTTTCCAGTTTAATCATTAATTTGGACATTAATAGGTTGATTTAGATCTAATGTAAAACATAACTAGAATACGTGAATTAAATTTTATTGATATGAACACGTTGAGTGATGTCAGTAGTAAAAATAAATGTTGTTTTTCATAAAGAATTCAAATTCGAACAACTGTACCTACAAAATGCACGCGTTGTCAACATACTACAAAAAAAATTTAAATATATATTATTTTATAATCATCACATACTATATCATAAATTCAAGATGATATTTAATTTTCAAGTGGATTGTTAAACTAGCAAAAAGAAATTAATTGAGATGTTATCGATATTGAGGACCGATTTAAAATCTAGAAATAGTTGGACCTTCTTGGTGTAATTAGCTCAAAAATATATAAGAAAATTAATTGTTTTTCTCATAAGCAGATAAATACAATGGAAATTTGTTGGAAGCTTCTCTGTTTGGAACTCGAATTTTATATCTCCCGCCCTAATTAAATTATCTTATTATTTTTAATAAAAAAATATTGTATTTTAGATAATTCTCAATACATAGAGCACAACCTTAAGCTTTGGATAATTTTATTATTTAAACATTGTATTTAATTATGCTTATAAATAAGTTTATTTATTTATTTTGTTATTTTAATTACATATACTTTGGGATATGTTAACATAATTGTTCGTCCAGCTCAGTTGGTAGAGCGCAAGGCTCTTAACATTGTGGTCGTGGGATTAAGTTCCACGATGGACAATTCATAATCCTGACTGCCGGAGGTCTCCCACGGAAGCTGCTGTCAACCTGGCGTTGGGGCAGTCTAATATCCTACCTCCCCTTACCTCATTATATATGAGAATAGGGTTAGCTAATTTTATTTATTTTGGGATATGTTAACAAAAACCCAAACTTGATCCCTTGAACACATTGGGTAATTTAACAACTCCAGAGTGATTTCAAGTCAAAATCAACTGCTCATGGAAATGAAAATGTAAAGAGAATCCCCTGTAATTTTACAGTCTGCAAGTGATTCCTCATCAACAAAAAAGAAAATTACCACAAGTTGAGAGCATGTCAAGGCTTTTAACTACAACTCTAGATCTATTTAAGACTCCAAGAATTAAAGTAAAATGTAAGCTCGGTTTACGGAATCAACCTCGTGAAAGAAACGATTACACTCTGACAAGTCACTCAAAATGATATGATATCGATTATGAGTTTCGAGTCATGTATATGAATCTCCTTTAATCACATCAAATTTACAGATTGTGGTAAGTAATTTGTAAATAAAATGAGAAAAACTCACGGTGTAGTTGCCACCGAAGCGAACGTAAGTGCCTTCAATTGGTGGCTGAATCGTTTATTTTTAACGACAAGTGACTACATTGAAATCACTTAAGTAGTTATGTGGCTATATTATTAAAATTGAAAGCATAGTAGTCATATAAACACTAACCTCATAATTAAGTGATCATTTGAGTAATTTGCTCTAATTTTACCGCGTGAATGAGATTTCATTGTCAAACGTAGTTGGGCAGAGAGCCAAAGGACAGTTTCTTTTAAAGCTTATTATGTCGTCTCTTGACCTTTGTTTTTATTATTGTACGAAACCAGCCAGAGATATTGGCTTGGTTGGTGAAATAATAACTATTTCGTGTCCATCTAAAATTAAATATTAATAGTGATGGAAATATTAGACTAGTGAAAAAATATAAACACTTATTAGATATTTAAATTCGAAATTCAGCATAAACAAACGATTTTAGTGATTAAGGGGATTGTTGTTATTCTTGAGGTCCCAAGTTCAAGCACTGCGTATGTAGGGATATGAGTGTTCATTGTCAAATAGTTAAAAGTCTTTGTACATATTACCTTGTATTCACCTTAAATTTATAATAAAAAACTAAAAATTCACGAGATAACTTCTAATTTGTCTAATATTTAAACTCACAATTACCTAAATTGTAATTAAACTAGAAATTTGAGAACACATACTTATCATTTTTTAATTCGACCACTACATGATTAAATATTTAAAAAGTTTTTATATTTTTTAAATTTAAATATTTATTTTACATGAACCAAAATACTATTAAACTAAAATTATATCATTGTGAAAAGGAGTTTGATTAAGTAAAGGATTTCGTTTAGGGCTTCTAACTCTAAGGTAGTATATTTCTAATCTTTGGGTGCTAAGTTTTCTTAAATTTAAAGAGATTGCTAAGATTAGAGTATTTAAACATTTTATGATGATATTCACATTTTAGAGGTTAGACGTTTTTATGCTACTTTAATAAGATTAGAAATCAAACCAAGTAATTTAGGTTGAGTTAGGAGTGTTTCACGAGCCTAAAATAATCATCACATTCTAATTTCTTAAATTATTTCACCGTAACAATCTAAATTATTTATCAAGTTATTTCTTTTAACTTTAAAATATTTTAAATTTAATGTATTTCATTAATTTTAATTTTACTAAATTTTATATTTTAATTATGTAATTTGAATTTTTAAATTTTATGGAAGGAATATATATTATAATTTCAATTATATATTTTTATGTAATTTTTTAAAGTAATATAATTTAAAGAAAAAAAATAAAAAATATGAACAGAATACCGACACTTTGGCAACCTGTACGGCTGTACCCATAAATGTGGCCACCTATATTTTGATTTTTCATTAATTCCTTTTCGACTTTTGAGACCAAAGGGCCTGCTTTGATCTAATAAAAGACTTTGCTCCTATCGTTGAAAGCTTTTATGTCTTCTTCTCAGGTCGAAGACCCTACTTTGCTTTAATCATCGAGCCACTTGCTTGAATTTTTGAAAATATTTCCAATATTTTCAATCATAAATGTAAAATATTTATAAAAATAGAACAATATAACGCATGCTCTAATTGCTGATAAATATGATCAATCAATTGATGATATTGTTGAATCACTTGACTATTAAAATTTATAAAATGGTCAACTGATTATTTATTATATTTTAAATTTATCCTTTTCGGTTATAAATTTGACGACGGTCTGAGTCGTATGTTAACTTACTAATTGAGATAAGATAAAATCGGATCATATCATAGTTAACATATTAACGTCAAATTCATATGACTTATGTTAACTTTTGAATGAAAAAGGACGAGTGTATAACATAATGAGACAATTTTATAACTTTTAATTGTTGAGAGATTCAACAAAGCAACTCCCCATAATTGATAGACCATTTTATAAATTTTAATAGTGTAAGGACTCAATAAAGTAATATCTTATAGTCGGAATCATTTGTGTACTTTATTTTTTTTATTTTTTTAATGATTAAATAGAATTATCTGACATGTCAAAATTACTTTTAATTTTTTAACGGTGAATGACGTAAATGAGACCAAAATATAACGTTAGTGATTATTTTTTAAAAAATATAGTTGAATGATTAAAAAGAACAAGAATGATAGGGTGACTAAATATATAGTTTACCATTTTTTAATATTAAACAACCTTTTTAGTGGAGTTGTATCTATAAAATACTACACACTCCACTTGTATTAACACCTGCATTTTCATTTCATCTCATCTCCTCTTGCAAGTAATCAAACACTTTAGCCTTCGTTTGTGTTTCAACCAGCAATGGCCGAAGGAATCGCCTTTGAAATCGCCGGAAAGCTCATTTCTGAACTGAGCTCCCATGTTATGGAGCAACTTGGCTTGTGGTGGAATTTCAAAGACGACCACGACGACCTCAAAAGCACCATCTCCGCAATCAAAGCCGTGCTTCTCGACGCGGAAAAGCAGTCCGTGACCAGCGAACTCGTCAAAGATTGGCTTGCAAAGCTGAAAGATGCTATGTACGACGTGGAAGACTTGCTGGATGATGTCCGTACCGAAGCCTTGCGGAAGAATCTGATGAGTGGGAACAAGTTCACCAAAGAGGTACGCGTTTACTTCTCGAGATCGAACCCGTTTACTTATGGTCTGAAAATGGGACGAAAAATCAAGGCCATCAAGGCCAGATTTACTTCCATTCAAAGTCAGGCCAGCATGTTGAACTTGGTTCAGCGTGACCATCCTGTGGAAACCTCTTTCATGGCCAAAAGGAGGCGGCAGACGCACTCTTTTGTGTCGAAAGGTGAAATCACAGGGAGGGACGATGACAAAGCAGCTCTTCTAAGACTCTTGTTGGAGTTTCAAAGCGAAGAGAATGTTTATGTCATTCCCATGGTGGGGATCGGAGGCTTAGGCAAGACTGCGTTGGCGCAGTTGGTCTATAACGACGAAATTGTTAAAAACCACTTCGAGTTAAGGATGTGGGTCTGTGTTTCTGATGTTTTTGATGTGAGAACAATTGTAGAAAACATCATTAAATCTGTAACTCATCAAGCACCTGGTCAAAATCTCGAAATGGATCAACTGCAAAAACAACTTCGGGATAAAATTGACGGGCAAAAATATTTGCTTGTCTTAGATGACATTTGGAATGAGGAGAGGGAACTATGGATTAGCTTAAAGAAGTTACTGATGGGTGGAGCTAAAGGGAGTAGGATAATCGTAACTACTCGCTCTAAGAAGGTAGCTAAGGTCACTAGTAATTGTCGGCCACATGTTCTGAGAGGCTTGTCTGGTGATGATGCATGGTTTTTGTTCAAAGAAATAGCATTTGAACAAGGATCTGCAGATTCGACAAATTCAGGCTTTGTGGAAATAGGAAAGCAGATTTTGGAAAGGTGTCATGGAGTTCCCTTGGTCATAAGGACAATAGCTAGTACCTTATCTTTTAAAGAAACTGAAACTGAGTGGCTTTCTTTCAAAGATAATGAACTTGCTAGAATATCTCAAAGATACGGTGATATTTTGCCTACACTTAGGTTGAGTTATGATCATCTCCCATCTCATTTGAAGCATTGCTTTGCTTATTGCAGACTGTACCCAAAAGATTATAAATTTGATGTGCAAACACTTGTTCGAATCTGGATTGCACTAGGGTTTGTAAAACAATCAAATCCTAGTGAATCTCTTGAAGAGATTGGGTTCGAGTATTTTAAATGTCTGGTTGAAAGAAGTTTCTTTCAAGAGGTAGCAGAAGATCAATTTTGGAGGGTAACATGTAAAATGCATGATTTGATGCATGATCTTGCTGAATCGGTAGCAGGGATGGAGAGCTGCATTCTACATTCAAATTCAATTACAAGTTAGATTGATGAGAAATGTCGTCACATATCAATTAATTTATCATTAATTCATTTGTTCAAGGGAAAGAAATTGCGGAGTTTGTTATGTTATGGAGTCAGCTTTGGTGAAAATAGGAGAGATGCGATTTGGGATTGGATAATTTCAAATGGTAGATGCTTGCGTGTTTTAGAATACAATGGTTTAGAATTTGTCCCACGTTCCATTCATAAGCTGAAACATTTGAGGTACCTTGATCTTTCTGAGAATTATCTTCTTAAGATCCTTCCAAAGAGTATTTGCAAGATGCAAAATTTGCAAGTGCTGAAACTTGATTTTTGTCCCCAACTTGAAGAATTGCCAAAGAAGATTGAAAAATTGGAGAACCTTACCCATCTTCCGTGTGTTAGTTGTGCCTTAACTCATATGCCACGTGGAATAGGGAAGCTGACTTCGCTTCAGACGTTAAGCATGTTTGTTGTGGATGAAGACGGTTCCCATGGTACTGCTGCTGCAGATCTAAGTGAATTGAGTCAGCTCAACAACCTGAGGGGAGAGCTAAAAATAACAAATTTGGGATTCGTGAGAAATGCAAGAGAGAAGTTTAAAGCTGCTAATTTGAAAGGGAAGCAACATCTACGAGAACTGATTTTAGAATGGAGAGGTGCTAGTGATGACGAAGAGAAGTCACTTGAAGACCTCCAGCCCCATCCTAATCTGAAGGAGCTCCGAGTGATAGGTGTAGACACCCGTTTTTGTCCGGGTTTTTTATCGTTATTATTATTATTATTATTATCGTTATATTATTATTACTATTATTATTATTAATTTACAAATATTACAATTTTTGCAGGCTCAAACCCGAAGCCCGTCAGATACCAAACCCGACCCAGAATTACAAGACTTGGAGCCCAGACCCGGTTCAGGCCCAATACCCGAACCAGGCCTGGATCTGGCCCAAGTAATTAGGGTTTTAAACCCTAAACCGAAGCCAGTGGTTAGCCGCCGCCGCCAGCAGCAAAGGAACAGCCGCGCCGCCGTCACTGTTCCGGCCCGTCTCGCTCCACTCCGACTGCACCCACCTGCACCAACAGTAACCCCATCAGTTCCAAATCAAACCAATCAAAGGAAATAGTAAACAAATCAAAACCCTAAAATATAAAATACCTAAATCCCGGTAAATCGGGAAATTGGTCACCCTAAATCAACAACCCATAATTTCCCCTATTCCTAGACATCATCATCTCACCAAACGAAGCAAAAATTAACCATAAATCAAGCAAGATATCAGAGAAAAAAGGAGGAGGGATTCGGGTTCAGAAAAAAAAAGAAGAGAAAAATACACAGAGGAAAGAAAAGAAAGAAACCAAGAGAAAAATCATCCATCCCATTCAAACAAAAATACGAAAAAAACAGAGAGAGGGGAACCCATACCTTGATCGGAGGAACCATCGGAAGTCCAAAGGGTCGTTGGAGTCTCGGTTTTCCGTGAGGTAGATCCTAAATCTAGGGTTTTCTGTTTGGATTTTGGGGTAGGGGACTTTAGATTTGGGTTGAGAGCTAAGAGAGGAGTCTTTTGGAGGCTTCTCTCTCTCCGGCCGCCGTGAGTTCCGCCGTGGACTCCGTCGGTGGCGGCCAGCGCCCTCGTCTCCGGCGAGAGAAGTTGAGAGAGTTCTCAACTATATCTCTCTTTTTTTTGTTTCTGAAAGAGGGAAAATGAGGGAGATGAGAGGTTTAGCCCGTGTATGGGGCTTTTATTTCCCATCTGAAGTGCTGCCGTTTTGAACCCCATCCCCATCCGTGTTTTCGATTTATGGGGTAACTACTCTTTTGGTCCCTGATGCTTTGTAACCGTATTATTTAGCCATTAAATGAAGTTTCATTTATTTGATTTCAGATTCTGATGTTTCCTTATTTATATTTTAGTCCTTTTATTATTTGTTAAGTTATTTTTGTTAATATTTGACATTGGTCACTATATTTGTGAATATATTATTTTAGCCATTGGCTTGTGTATGGTTTAATTCCTATTTAGTCTTTTAGGTTTCAGTTTTTCTATTTGAGTCTCCTTTTTATTTCTTGTTATATTTTCGTCCTAACATATGTGTTGATGTTTATGACAATTTTTATATATCAAGCCTGGAATTTGTGAAATGTTTATTTCAGTCCTTAAATTTTCTGTAATGTTAGTTTGGTTTTATGCCTATTCAGGTTTATTGATTTGTGATTAATTTTATTTTGATCATTGTATGAATATTAATGGAATTTATTAATATTTATGTTTCAGTCTTTAAACTGGGTTGCCCTCTATTTTAGTCCATCTTTGTTCTTAGTTTTTATTTTCGATGAGGTTTATGACTTTGGTCATCTGTTTTGCATCCTTTCATTTCGGTCCTTTATGTTGGCTTTGGGTTCGATTGGGATTAATATTTGATTTAGGCTTAAATTTTTTTAGGTTCATTTTAGTCACTATCCTAGGTATTATAACATTTTTGGTTTATATTTGGTTCTGGTTTCAATATTTATAAATGTTACATCTTAGCCACTGATTTAATATTTCATGTATGTTTCTTTGATATTCGGATCTGGCCATCCCATTTTTTAAAATACTTTATTTTAGTCCTATTAATGTATGTTATGTCATTTTTGTGAATATTTGACTTTTGGACATTATGTTTGTAATAGTTTCATTCTAGTCCTAAGTTCTTGTGTTGTGATATTTTGTGGATGTTTGAATTCAGCCATCATATTTGCAAATGTGCTATTTTGGTCACTGTCTGACATTTTATTTAATTACTTTTTGATCCTCCATGTTTCTGTGAAATTTCAATTTAGTCATAAGCTTTACTTTTAGGTTATTTTCACTTCTAGTATTTGACTGTTTAATGTTTGTGATATGGGCTCTAAATTATTTTTATTTTATATTTAGTCCTTTAAATTTCGGTTAGTGCTATTTTGGTCCATTAACTTTCTGTTTTTTGCTGTTTAGCCCCCTAAGTTTCTGTTTCTATTATTTTAGCCCCTTAAATGTTTTATATTTATTTTGGTTTGTAATATTTACTAATTTATTTTTAGACATTTATGTATGGATGTGTATTTTACTCATTAGTTAATTATTTGATTATGTAAATAATGTTTTCAATTTCATTTAATGTAAATATTTTATTTTGTATTTCCAATTACATTTATTTTCATTATATCTTTATCTATGTAAGAAATATTCGATTATATTTTCAAGAATACGTATGCGTAGAATGGGCGTGGAAAGTACCACTTGGTCGAAGTGGTACGATCCGATACGGCATTTTAACGACATAGGAACTTGCAACAAGTCGAGTATATTTTACTAATTAATTTATTCAAACGATGCAATGTGTGTTATTTTAAATGACAATTTACTTTATTTTATGTGAATGTAAATTTCAAAATTTTTAATTTGTATTCATTCACGTTTTCAGTTAATCAATTTATTCGTATGTAAACATTGTTTTAATTATATTCGATTTGTATTTTTAACATAATCAATGGTAGAATATTCTTTTACGAATGAGAAATAGTTCGAGTTAGTTGTCCCGATGGAGGATTGCTAATTTCAAGATTTCCTTTCGAGTTAAAGAATTTTCTCTAATTAAATAATTCGAAGCAAATTAATTAATGTTCGATAAATGGATTATAAATTAACTTTATATTCGATTTGTAATTTCCATCATTATGACAATGTGTAAGCGACACAGTACCAATTTTGGGCGCTGTGGGGTGCTAATCCTCCCCCACGCGTAACCGACTTCCGAATCCATTTAAATGAATCTTTGGTAACGCATACCGAATTTTGTCTAAAAATGATTTTTTTCTTAAAATTGTTTTAAAAGACGTTTTTAGGTATTCGACCTACCTAACCCAAAGGTCGATGGCGACTCCATTTTTAATTTAATTCGAATCAATTCAAAATCATTCATTTTTTTCAATTTAAAGTCATAATTGTTTTTAAAAATAATATTTAATTGTTTTACAAAAAAAATGGTTATGACAGCTTGGCGACTCCGCTGGGGACATCTTTTTAGAGAGTCAAGCTGTAGGTCGCTTACACATTGTCGTCTTAGTGGAAATTATAAGTTCGAGTACATAGTTAACTTATGATCCGTTTATTGAAATTTTTAATTGCTTCATTTTTATTTGACATACTAACCTTTGATTTTTTTTTTCAGATCGGTCCCAATTTTTGTCGTTTTTTTTTCTTTTCTGTTTTGAGTCAAAGGTAGGTACGTTCCTCCTCACACACATCACGTGCATTCGCATAACATGAGCTCTAGACACGAGCTTCGATCCAAGTTAGTCGGGGTGAATGCTTTACTCTCGTAAGAATTTATTCTTCGTATGAGTTTTAGCAAATAACCCATGGGATACATACTTTATACCTTCGTAGGAATTTATTCCTCGTATGGGTATAAGACAGTGAATCCCCTCGAATTGAACTCGTTCCGCTTGAAACCTGTAATGGGTAAGGATCGAGGGTTTGGCAGCCCAAGGGGGCACCGACATCAAGGACAATTCGAGTCTTTTTTTTCGTTAGAGCCGAAACCAAGCATATAGTGAACCGTCGAACGATCACCCTAGGTATAGTCATACCGAACCTTTGTCCGTCAGTAGGTATCTAAAATAGGTGTACACAAAGGAGGAATATTTCTAAACCCTTATCTTTTGTTTTAATTTCGTAGAATTTGTTTTCTTTTTGAATAAAAGCATGCGAACTAGATACCATGCGGTTAGGACCATTTTTTTGAAATTATTCATTTTGGGTAGATAACATGTACGGGTAGGACTATTATCTATTTAAAGCATGCTCGGGTAGATATCATGATGGGTAGGTGTTATATTCATCTTTTAATAACACTTTTATCTATATCGATTGTCTTACATGTACTAACTAATTTCTTTTATTTTCTTTGTGTGCACTAACTTATTTATTTTCTGTTGTTTTTGTTTTTTTCATTCTTCTTTACATTGCATCATCATAACATAATGCGAAAATGTTGATCAGCAAGGGGATATTCGAGAGAAAATTTTCACAAGAAGAGATAAAAGTTTTCAACCAAGCAGTCGCGTACACAGACATGCACCGAAGGCTAAAAATAAATGCACAGAGTACAAGAAGGAGACTTGCTCAAGACGATCGTGCAACGTTCGAGACTAAAATGATGAGCCACTGATCCGATGAGTGATCCAGCAGTCGATTTTTATCTACGATCATTTCATCGCTATTTATCAAGGAGCGACACATTGACTTCCGCACCACTGGGGTATTAACAGAGTTAGGTTACAGAATGCTTTAGGGGCATCAGTTCCAAATACAAAGATCCGAGAGAAAGCAGTGAGCTCGAAGATCGTGCAACATTTAAGACTGAAGTCTGGGGATTAATCCAGCAGTAGATTATTATTTACGATCGTGCCGACGTTATTCATCGAAGAGTGATGCACTGACTTCAGCATCGCCAGGGCATTAAAAGAGTCTGTTTACAAAACGCTTGAGGGGCATCATTTTCAAGGATGAAGATCCAAGATGAAGCAGCGACCCATTTCAGATTCAACATCTAAGAGAAGTCAAGTCTGTAAAGTGGACTGTCTTGTAATGTGAAAACTTTTATTTCTGGTGAAAATTGTTCTAAAATATTCATTGTTGGGATCCACATTTCTGCATTTGCATTTGCATCGTTGCATATTGCATAACATTCATTTAAGCATATTTACATGCATTAATCATACCTTGCTGGAAACTTTGAGGAAGCACTTCTAACTGTGCAATGGCATTCACACAGTACTGAGAATGGATGCAAAATTTGAGGAATTAAAGAAAGAGCTGAACGAGAGTTTGCAAAAGATGCAAGTTGAGTGGGAGGTTAAAATGGAGCAGATGCAAAAGACCACCGTGGATCGTATCTTACAAAACCAAAAAGACCTAGTTGACCAAATGGTAGCAAAGATGGCTGAGCTCAACCAAGAAAAGGGCAAAGAAAAGATTTCATTGACCCGTGAAACAGTTAAATGTGTGAAAGCACAGGCTAATTCACAACCACTTATCTCGTCCAACAGGATTCCTAGTCACCAAGCGACGAGAAGAGCCAAGAACGAGATCCCAGA